TGCTGCATTCTGGACCAGCTGTAGCTTCTGGTTAATCTTCAAGGCCAGCCTCAAGTACAGTGTATTGCAGTAATCCAATCATGAGATGATTAGGGCATAAGGAACTGTCTGAAGGAGCTCCTGGTTCAGGAAAGGGTGCAACTGGAATACTAGATGTACTAGAGGACCCCCAGATTCTGTGTAAGTCTCAAATGGGGAACTGCAACCCCACTGAGCGCTAACAATGGAATATCTCTGGGGAGCCCAAGTAGACACAGCCTTTCAGTCTTAAGTCAGAACTGAGCCTCTCTGTTTCTCCCCATCCCGATCTACACAGCCTCCAGGCACTGGGTTAGGACTTTGACTGCATCACTTGACCTGGGGTTGAGGTTTACAACTAGACATCATCAACATACTGATGATATCTGATCCCAAACCAGTGGATGACCTCACCCAGCAGTTTCATGTAGATGTTAAACAGAAGGGAGAGAATGCTAAGTCCTGCAGCATCCCACAAGTGAGGGGCTGTGGGTGCAATCTCTCCCCACTTGTCAACACTAATTGAAACTGACCATAGAGGATGGAAGAGAGCCACCATAAAATGGTGTCTCCCGCCCCCAACCTTTGAAGCTGGTCCAAAACTGTTGAGAGATCAAGGAGCACCACCTCCATCTTAGCTCTGCCACAGGTCAATGAGCATTGCCAATGCCATTGTTGTACTAAGCCCCTGCCTGAAACCTGGCAGAAATGGGTCCAAATAATCTGCTTTGTCCAGGGTCCTCTTGAGCTGAAGTCTGACTATCCACTCCACCACCTTCTCTAATGAGATCATGTCTCAACTGTCCTGAGACAAAAGCCAAGTCTAATATGTGATCCCTGGTATGCAATGAACCCTGATGACTTGAGATAGGTCTAAGTTTGTCATGGTGCCATGAACTCCTGAGCTACCTCAGACTCAATGTTGCTCAGCGGTAAACAGAAATCCCAAGAACCACAAGCCTTGGGGACTCAACCACTAACCTTGCAACAAACTCCAGTAGCTCAGGGTTACATTTTGCTGGTTTTGAAGCTGTATCATACTATGGGTAAAGTAACTATTGTTAAAGGACCTTTTCCCACCACTGAGTTGAATTCTTGTTCACTCATTTTGAATATCATTTTGAATGATATTGGCATGAAATTTGATGTCATTATTGCTGATTTCTATCTTGTCTCTGTTGCTTCTATTCTGAGCCATTTTGTCAATTACTTGAGTTCTCGCCAAGGTAATTGGTGAGAAACCCTATATCTTGAGGTTGCCTTTGGATGGTGTTGGAATAAGGAGAAAAAATACTTTAAACTGAAATACCTGAGGATGATTTAAACCTCTATCACTCATGGTTAGGGATAAGATGAGAGTAAAGACTGTAGGGACATGGCAAAAAAAAAAAAAAAAAAAATCTTGCCAAAGTATGTTAGTTCTGTGGTTAGGTGCAAGTGAAGAAAGGCCTGTAGTATGATAAAAGTGGAATTCTCTCAATCTGCAAATATTTTGTTTTAAAATGTGATGACTTGAAATAATATTTCGGCAGCTTTTTCCAACAGCATATTTTATATGTATTTGGATCTCATCCTCACAGAACGTTGGGGATGATGGGAGTAGAATCCAACAAATATGGGGTAGTTTGGCCTATAGTAATTTTATGTTTTTCTAGAAGCATAAGGTGTGAATATATTGTCTTTTCTTACCCAGAATCATACAGTATCACTGTAGTTTGTAGTAAGTTCTGTACTGCTTTTGAACTTTGGTCAAATTTGTTAATGATTATGCTGTGGCAGAAGGAGCCATATCCAAAACTTTCCATCTTCCAAATGACACAGAAGGGAAAGGAATCAAATGGGAAAGATTAAAACAAGAAAGTCAGCAATGAAACAGCACTGAACCATAAAAAACCTAACCTGAAGTAAGGGATCTCAACAGCTAATTTAAAATGGCTTGTCTCCTAGATTTTTCACATAGAATATTATAATTGTTTCCAGACCTTGAGGATCATTATCAAGAACAAATGTTAGATAATAGCCAATAGCCTAACAGACTGTAGGACAGCTGAAAATCTCTTAAGAATGGGAAGAATATATGACAATGCTTTCTCCAGTACTTTCACTCTGAAGTCAGACTGTAAAGGGCTTTGGAGCAGAAATAAACTGGCAATCAGTACAACCTATGTAACTCATATAAGCCTACTTCTGATTATATATTTTGTGTGAAAGTAATGCCATATATGCCCAGAGTCATTGAGAGTAGGGCAGCATACAAGTTTAATTTTTTATTATTATTATTTTAAACCAGCTATATTTCTGTACCAATTAATATTTTTGAATTACTCTCCATGGCAGCTCTGTAGGGGCAGGTTCAGTAGTTGGGATGAGAGAATATCAAGGCCTGTATTAGATCCATTTCTTCTAGGTAGGAGTATAACTGATGAATTAAGCAATAAAACAGGAACACATCCTTACTTTGAACATCAAGGAGGTGCCAGGATTTAAAAATATAATTTCTGGAATGTAAACTAGATCAAGGTACCTAATGAAATTTACATGATCACTGACAAAACCAATTCTAGGCCATTACCACAGCCTGTTTACAGCAGAGCCTTTTTTCCCCTTTATTGTAACATAGCAACACAATTATCTCAGAGGGAAAAAATGCTTTAGGTATCACATGGACAACTTGGCCTCAGCTGTTAGCTAAGTGGAGTGTTTAGTGCAAGGGTTGGCAATTTTTTCTGTAAAGGGCTAGATAGTAAATATTTTAGGTTTTGTGGGCCAAGAGGCAAAGTGGAGGATATCATGTTGGTCCTTATAAAACAAGAAAACACTTTTCTACAAGTTTTTTATTGACAAAATTCCCTTCCTCCAGCCTCCTCCAGCCTCCAGCACAGAGGCTCACCTGGTGTAGCAGCAGCTGTGAAGTAGCAGTTGCTCAGTGAGGTTGGAGGCTCTGGCAGTCCCGTCCCTCCTCTGCCTCTGTAGCTGGCAGGTCTTCAGGCCAAAGAGTGTGACAGCCATAGATGACACCAACCTGCCAGTAAGGAGGCTGCTGAGAGGCCACCACTGCCCAAGATGCCCCACCCCTTCCCCTGGGAGCTCCACAGGGCTATCTACTGCCCACCCATCCACTCTTAGCTTGTGGGCTGTACCAAAACAGGTGTTGGGACAGATTTGGTCCAAGGACCGTAGTTTGCCAACCCCTAGTCTAATGTTTTGGTTTCAGCAATAATCACAGGTCCTAATGAACTAGACAATGAATCATGGAATTGTCTGTAATGAGCTGCAGCTATTGCATTCTCACATCTCCATTCCTGTTCTCTGGCTCCCTCTTGGAGTCCAAATAGAAATGCCCTGGAGTCAGCAATGAATTACAGACAGTCCTCTACTTACGAACTTTCAAGTTATGAACTTTCGCTGATACGTACTGTGAGAAGGCAGGGAGAAGTGAGGGCCTCAAACGAACGAACCATGTTTGCTAGGGGAGAGCGCTGTGCATGATGGGGCAGCCTTGGGGGGATGGCAGGAGGGAGGAAATACTGTAGGCAGAAGGCACGTTTGCACCAGAGTGAAGAGAAATGGCAGGGGGCGGCTGTTGGGTCAAGTGGGGATTAGGAAGTGTGTATTGCGCTGATTGAATTAGGAAAGTGGAATGTCTGCGGTTTTGCGGTTAATTAGGGGCGCTCCGGGGCAGTAAAAAAAGGTGAGGTTGTGAGCCAATCCCTCGTAGGAGGGGGAGGACAGATAGGGGGTATA